GGTAAAATGAGGACCCGGATTGTTGGGGGCAATATGCTGACTCTCTGTAAACCGCTTAGAGAGGGCTGAAAGCCCTAGGAAGCGGTATATAAGTCGAACTGCTATTGCTATCTCTGGGATTTCCTATGGAGAGTTTACTGAGAGCTCTCTGAAGATGCCGAACGCTGGATCTTGAACCTTCTGGGTGAGAAGATAATTACCACTCTGTTGAAATAAAACTACCCAATACGTGATCTCTCTTCAACAGTAAAAGGCAAAATTCTGGGCACATAGAGAACCTGTTATCCTTTTTGGATACCATTAGCTGCTCAGAGGGAGAAGAAAGGGAAGGAGGAGGGGTGGAGGAGGAGGAGAAGGTCAACCGTCTCCTGCTAAAGCAACCTGACCAAGATACCTGCAGATTGGAGTCGTGGACGAGTTGCAGCTGCTCCTTGATTACATGCAGCTCCTCTTGCTGGGTCTTGATGTCGGCTTGCAGGATGCGCGTCCGCTCTTCCAGCTGCTGCTTCAGCTGGTGCATCATCTCCATTTGCGCTGGGAAGGGGTGGCCTGGCTGCAAAGAGGAGGCCGTGTTTTGCAAAAGAATAACTGCCCTGGTTATCACCCCACATACAGCACACAAGCTCACTACTCCGTGCACAACTATTAAGGTCCCTACTGCTTTGTTGTTCATCATCGGACTCTGTGATGGGGGAACCGGGCTTCCGGTCGGCTCCAGAATTGAACGGGGGGCTTCCGTTTAGGACCTTTGTTTAAGGTTGCCGACCCCCTGCCTTGGCTGTTCATCTTATGGTTTAGCCTCCAGACCCCTGAGCATCATCTTTGATGCTCTTCTCTGCACCCTTTCTAGGATCTCAGCATCTTGGTGTGTGTTTTCTTTGCTGCAAAGATCAACTCTAAGACTCTCCCACTGAAAACCACGGCACTATGACTTCCTTCCCTCACTTCCAGTTCAAGATCTGGTCTCCCACCCCCCCCACGTGGCGTCACATCTCCCAGGCTTCAGGCACTTGAAGAACCAAAGCAGGAGGAAGAGATCTTGGCTCCAAGCTGACCCACACAATATTGACGTTATTCAGATGAGAAGCAAGGAAGGAGCTCTGCATTCCTTGGCTGCAAAGCATGCCTGGCATGGGGTTTGCATCGTGGACAACATACCATCAGTGTTTGTGGCGCGGGGACTGTGGGCTGCGTCATGTGATGCGGCACAAGATGGTCGGAGGGAGGAATGATGCCCTATGAAGAAGAAAACAAGGAAGGGGGGGGGGAAGACACCACAATCCATCCTTCTGCAGCATTCAGTTTAGGTTCTGACCCAGCTCCTCAAACATTCAAACCCTCTGAATAAAGATTCCCGAATAAAGATTATTAGGAGTGCCGGCAGCCCCGGCAAAAAGTTACTCTCGCAAGCTGGCTAGTCTGTCCGTCCGGAAGACGAATAGCTGTCTGTCACACCTAGTCATCTCCTCCCCCTGCCTTTGATCCCCAGAGCTAGCAGCCTGGCTCTTCCGTCCCAAGAACCGGCCCATAGATTTCCACTGCTCTCCTCTCCTCTGCCTTCTCCGCAGGTGTGAATTTCTTAGCTCTCAAAAGTTTCTTGGATGGGAAGCCGAACGTTTTCAAAGAAAAGGAAAAAACCCAGACAGTCCAGCTGCCTTTTGGAAAGGCCCCTATGGGATAACCATGATCTGGATGACGAAGAATCTCCATAGATATCAACAGAGGAAGAGAGTTGGGAGGGGCCCTGTAGGTCTCTAGTCCAGCCCCCCCTGTCCAAGTAGGAGACACCACAGCAATGCCAGCAACAACCCACCCCTGATGCCGGGCCTTACCGGGGTGTTGCTGCCGGAGGTGAGCCGTAAGGAGACCTTGTCTGGCTGTCCCAGGGATGAGCTTTGTCTTGTGGGAGTGCTGGTGCTGGTGTGCCGCATGGATGACGTGGCTGTAGGGAACCAACACATTTAGGAAGAGGGGAAGGAAGAGAAAGAGAAAACTTTGCTGGCGATTGGCCAAGTAAATATTATCGATGGATGCAGTGAGTTAACAAGATAACGGAAGGGTTCCTGGAGGTCTTCTAGTCCAACCCCCTTCTCTGACCCCTTCTATAACAAGGGGGATGCTGTCAGCAGAGAATGGATGACCCACCTATCCTGCATCTCAGAAGGGGTTAAGAGAAAACCGCACAAGGTTTTATGAGTGTGGCTTTTTGCCATGCTAGGAAGGAGAAGTGTGACAAGGTGTTTAGGTCTGGACCGTGGGGCCGCCCTGGAAACAGCGAAGCTTCCTCTGCCAGCAAAAATGGAACTCGCAAGGGCTCCGTTTAGGCTGGCAGAGGGTCCCTGGAGTGAAAGCAGCTTGGGAGGATTGCGGAGTGCCCTCCCAAGCTCCCTTTCAGCCTGGCAGAGGGTTGCAGGAGGCCGTCGCAGCCGGAAACGGAGCTCGGGAGTTCATTTTCCCTGGGAGAACATTCAGGCCACCACAGGCCCCCCGGACCCAAGTGATGTTGAGCTGGTCACGCCCACTCTGCCCCCCCCCCCGAGGTCAAAAGCAACCCTGATACAGCCCTCAATGAAACCGAGTTTGACACGGCTGATTTAGAAGGCCTGGATTCCACCAGTGAGTCCCCTGTTCTGCTGGAATGGGACTTTTGCAGAAGAACAGGGTGGAATGGCTTCTCAAGGGAGAGACCCTTAGAAAGCCAGAAAGCCAAGAGTCCATGACGTTGGTTTCACGGGGGTTGTGTGCTGGATGTGTGAGCCATACATGCAGAGTCGGAGAGGGCTGTGTGTGAAGATCGGCAGGAGCTGTGAGAAGACACAGATACTCCTTCACGGCTGACTTCTTGGTTCGCGGACACGCAGTGTTGGGCGTTGATATAATCCCCTTGACTCTGGAAAGGAAGAGAGTGGACCGTCAGAGGCTTAGGAAAAGAAAACCAACTCGAAGATTTTAAAAAATAAAAATAAATACATCAACTGAGGAAAGTATTTTTCTTCCAGATGTCAACCCCGAAGCTGCCCTGGCCAAAGCCATTTTGACAGTTTCACTGTTGCCACACTAGAGCTGAGGGATAGGGAGAGGGGGGAATTAAAGATAGTTGTAGTCACAATAAAATATTTTCTCTTGGGAACCAAGGACATTCTCACACCTGGTCAGAGGGAGGAGGAGTGAGGTCACCAGGCAACCAGACAGAGCCCTGATTGGACCATTTGATGGATGGTTTGGGGTAAAGAGGGAAACTTTAGATGAAAAACCGCGGGGCATTTCAGAGTCAGTTTTCACCACTTATGTGCCAATGTGCCATTTCCGATAAATCTATTCTTTGAGGCATCTACCTCCCTTGAAGTTTTGCTTGATATAGATCTATTACTGGGACACCTGACACCAGAAAGAGACTTCCAAGATTCTGAGAATCCTATAGGAAGGTTTTTTCCATGTTAAGTCATCTTGTGGACCTAAATTTGACTCTTCTGCGGGTGATGAGTTATTTTTAGAAGAGAACATCCTGCACAGTACATAAAATGAAGACTTTAGCTGGAGAAAGATCAGGTGACTTTTCCCCCCCCAAAAAGGCAACTGGGCTTTCTTTGTTTTTGCGTGAAGACGTTTCGCTTCTGATCCAAGAAGCTTCTTGGAAAAACCAAGAAAGCCCAGGTGCCTTTTGAAAAAGCAGAACTGGAGGACTGGGAATCTCCGTAGAGAACCAGAGGAGGACCATTCCTTCTTCTAAATCTCTCCTCTGAGGTTCTTGATGATGGTGGCCAACTGGAGTGAAGCTTCCTGTGGCATTCAGATACAGTGTCTCTCTGTTGAACTGTTGACCAAGTCAACAACCCATGGCCATTATTGAAAACCTCCTCACCCTTCCAGTCGACGTTTGTTCAACACTGGCACTGAAAATACAAATTGACTTCCCTCAACAAAGCCCCATTGGCAGCGATCTAAAACTGACATCAGTATCCAGAATTGTCACAGACTTGGGCTGAGTGCAAGCCTCACAAATATATAAATAACCCAAACAAATAAACTTGTTGGGACTCAGCAGGCAGGAATAATTCAACCGTGCAAATTGAATTGCCAATGGATAGATGATTGATTGATTGATTGATTGATAGATAGATAGATAGATAGATAGATAGATAGATAGATAGATAGATAGATGATAGATAGATAGATAGATAGATAGATGATAGATAGATAGATAGATAGATAGATGATAGATAGATA